ATCGTTGCTCCGTTTAATGACCATTCCTTTATCCAACATGGCGAAACAAATCAATGATATGATCGTCCCTACGGCTGTCGGTTGGATAACATTCGTAGGTCTGTATTGGAAAGTAGATGCCTGTACTCGAGATTTTCTTCGCTGATGCTGTAGATAACTTATAACATGCTTTTTTTCTAAAGATTTCTATCTTCTGAGATTTATTCATAGTCGCTATTACAATTGATTCCACTCTCCGCTGTAAGAAAAAGTTTCTAGATAGCGTTTTCTTTCTTGTAAACCTGATAAATTGCATAGGGCAGAATTTATACTTTCTCGTTATTTATAGCTTATATTTTAAATATTGTTAAGTTATAGAATATTTGTGTCTGCAGGATCCTATGATATTTACTTATAAACAGTTAAATTTAAGATCTGGAAGTAAAAATGACAAACTTTTGAAGAATTTGGGTTTATTTCCTTAATTTAGAATCTATTTAAATATTTATTTTTCAGCGTTTCAATCCGAAACTAGAAATAAAATTGTTGATATTTATATGTAAACTGTGTGCTACTTATTATTGATTATTGTTTAATAACTAAAAATATAATTTTTTAATAATCATAAGTCTATAATTTTGTTTCCTATAACAAAATAGCACCAATTTGATCGGGTGTTTTCGAGAGGCGATTAAACTCCTTTCTGCATTCTCTCTCTAATACATCAATCTTACGGATTCATGCAACTATTTCGACTTTGGATAAAACTTTTATCAAATAAACTTTAAACCACCGTCTATAAGTATTGTAATTAGGTCTTACTTTTTTAAATTTTCCAATTCGTTTGAATAAAATATATTTTCTAGCTTAATCACTGGCAACGATATAACTGGTATCTGTTTTTTTCCTTCTTCCTTTCTATCCACATTAATTACCTTTGATTTTAGGAAATCAGTTAAACGATTAGAATTTCAAACTTCATGACGTCACGGTGTCATTAATGTCACCAGAAAACGACCTTTAACGTTTAAAAACTGGATAGAAAATAGGGACAGTTCTCGTTATCATTTTTTTTCCATTGCAGTCTCGAGTATTGTATAAATAGAATTATCTTTTAGATTATTATTAACTGATAAAGAAGGACGATTTTTTAATTAAATATACAACTTACTTCAAAATATATTATTTCAATATTCCTTTTTAAAATTTAAATTTGAAATTTTATACTCCCTGTTACAGGAAATATAAATATATTCGACTATCTTTAGAAAGTCGAAATTTACAAAATTCCTTTCCAATGAGATGTACTGTATAGTACTGTACAGTATATTTATTTTAAATGATTAATTGTATAATTGATCCAATTCAAAACTGTACACATCATAACGTTTTTAGTCTATTGATTAATATTTAAACGAGAATATTTTGATGGTAATGTTCTTGATTACAGAATAATTAGCATATAAAAGTAATTAGTTATTTTTTTCATTAACATCAAGAAGATATTTGCTGTAAATTATCCATTATATATCAGGTGTATATTATTGTCCATTATTGAAATGTGTTACTTTATGAATGCGGCAAGTAAATTGTTTTTCTTCATACTTTTAAAAAATTTATTGTTTATTTGAAGATAATTAAGTCGAATAAAAAATATTTTATCTTAAAAGAAGCCGAAACTTTAAACAAAATGTATATTTTAAATTGCAAATAAAATGTAAATTTACTGCAGATTAAACAATTGCAATTCCAGAATAGAAAATATTCTTTTAAAAGCTTTGATTTTAAAAATTAATTGCAATTAATTTTTAAGATAACTCTGTTTTTTTAAGTGGTTTGGAGTTCTTGTAAATGACAATACCATTAGATTTTTAAATATTAAGAAAATTTATCTTTTACTTGTTATAGATTTAGTTTAGAACATGTCCAAAATTTCTTCTGTAAATTATTATGAAATAAATAAAAATATAAAAATAAAACAATGCAGAGAATTTAAATTCGAATAAATTTTAAGAAAAGAATGTTGTCATTTAAGAAAGAAAAAAAAATAGAGATAAATATAGAAGGAAGCGGAGAGACAATACAGCAATTTAAGTTAAGTACAGACATTTGAAAAATTCTATTCTAAAAAAATTCGCATATATAAATTTAAAACTTATTAAGGTTAATCTAAACAAGAAAAAAAATGTAAACAAGCTAAAAATTTCATTACGTTATCCATTAACTCTTTTTTAAAATTTTAATTTAACTCGCTTTAAAAACTATTTTTTTAAAAAAAGAAAGCTAAAACAATACAATTTTTTTTTAATTAGTAAAACTACAATGGAAGAAAAGTGCGTTAAACTCTTGTTTTTCTTTATCTTTTCTTTTACGAGATTGTTTATGAAATTTATTTATAAACAAAATTTCCATATAATCATCAACCTCTCGATAAGTGGCTCAACGCGTATTATTAAAACAACGATATCTCCAATGCACTTAATCATTTTCCAACCGGAAATTATATGATTTAATATCGTATTAATAATACTGTCAGTGATAGATTATACTTTTTTTCAAGGATTAGAAACAATATATATATATATATATATATATATTTTTAAAGTAAAGAATTATTTTAGAGTTTGAACTCTGACCTATTTTCCTTCTACTCTAGCAGTTTCACTACTTCAATTTTCGTTTATCAAAATTGAATGGCAAGAGCTTGACAATGAGTCGTAAAAGTGTCAAAAATGTTCCCTTATTGGAATAGTTGTATTTTCATTGTGAGTACGATAAATATTTTTCATTTACAAAAATGACAATATCTGCTTATTTATCTTGAGTTATTGTCGTTTTTCTCTTCCGAAACCGTAATAATATTTAATATTTATACTTATTTTTTTCGAATTAATTACGTACGCTCTGCTTCTTTTTAATAACTAGGTCTAATATCTATAATAATGCAGCAACGCATGCGTTTATTAAATTGCAATGCTTTTTTTCCTCTGCCCTTCGACACTCGTGTTTGCGCTTGCGTATTCGACTTTTGGCACTTTGCCAGATTTTTAAAATACGTCATTCAACAGGTCTGAAGAGTCTTATTACTATTGGAGTAAAATATTTAAAAGGACACGAAATAAAATGTGTATCTTTAAACCATACTCGAGGGGCGCGGCTTTATCTATCTTTCGAAAATACAGGACAAATAAAAAGATTTTTTGATTTTCTTTTTTTAAAAAATTCTCGCCGGATGCGAAGAGGATGATTTTAAAAAAAAAATGAAATTTATTTGAAATATTTGAATTTTGTACAAAAATTTCTCCTTTTTTCGTTTCTGTTTACTTAAATTTTCAAAATATAAATAAATATAACTCAATTATATGCGTATAACTAGACAGTTTCGTAGAAGGGGTGGGGGAAAAGTAGATTTCTTAAAACAGAATTGCTAATTTCTAAGATAATTTAATTTCATTTTAAAAGAGTAAAATTAAATCTGATGACTTACATGATAGGCCTTATACTCCAACTGTTTCTCTGCCAAAAAAAAAAAAAAAAAAAAGTTTCTCCGGAGCATCCGACAAAATTAATTTTTTAATTATTTGCACGAATATTTGATTTTTATATTTACAGTCGAGATAAATAAATTTCATCTTATGAAAATTTCTTAATTCTTTGTAAAGTTAAATTTACTTATAAACAATTTCTGCAGATTTTCGACTCTTCCATATTTAATCTTCGTGTTTTTTAATTTTTATATCTGNATTTAAAAATATAATTATATTTATTTATATGATTATCTTTAATTTAATATTATACAAATGCTATTATACTGTTTTAAACAGAAAGAATATTATATAAGGATAAACGAAGAGATATTAAATTAGTGGTGAAGAGTAAAGTAACTTGCTTCTTTAAGTTTGATTGCTGTGACCTATGTCTTATGACGGAACAGTTTCAGAGGAAATATCGACAGTTGTCAATAATTTTGTTTCCAGAAGTCATTCTATAGATAGATGACTTGGGCAACTAGCTGCTTTTTTTCTCCTGTTTCGCTCTATGGAGTCACTACAATAATCACGTCAATATTTGTCATGATAAATGTACTGATCTTAAATAATATTTTAAAAATAGCTCAAGTTACTAAATTTTTATGAACTTGCGCTTTGAAAAACTTCAAAAACGTCTGTTCTTGTTGTCTGAAACAAATTTTCTCAGCTAAATTCACGAATATTTATCCGATTAAATCGGTAATGTATGCATTATTGATCTTAATTATTTGAAATTTAGTCATAGTAAGCACACAAATTCAAATCGTTCTGTTTACTATATTTGACTTCCAGCTATGCTGAAACCTTTTATTTAAACAGCTTATTACTACAGTAATTTGTTTAAGTTTAAAAGTTCAGTCTGAAGAGTAATAATTTAAGTCAAACCATTGCGTCCAATGTATTTTCGACTAGCTGAAAATTCATGGGCAGTAACTTACTTCGGCCCAAAATTGATTATTTTCATTAAAATTCTGTTTTTATGTCTGAATTATGATAAAGTTAAATAATTATTCGAATTAATCTCAATTTCTTTTTATTACTTGTGTAAATTAAAACCCATAATTCAGTTTACTGACTTGATTGAGGACTATTTCCATTTAACAGCCGCCATTTTTATAATATAATAGGTTGCTAATTAAAATCGAAATATTCTTAAAGTTTGATGTTTTAAATTAGTTTGTTGTTTTCGAGGATCCCGCATACAAAACTGTCTACAAATACTTTTTTAAATCTCTTCGAATTCGTATATTTTTATTTTTATTTTGCCAAAAAAAAGTTGTCAAAAAGTCTCATTTTTTAATTCCCGTTTGGCAATAATGTAGTTATTCAGATAATTAACTTCACACCGTCAAACATAATTTAAGATTATGTTATTTAATTTTCAATTAATTTTTACTAATTTCGAAATTACAATTTAAAAGATAATTTCTTCTCGAGAATTTATATCAAATTACATTTTTGGGATTCATTCATTAATCGCATTGTCAACGTCTTTCGATAAATTCCCTTGAATTATATAGGACAAAATGATTTATTAGACATTTTTGCGCTTGATTATTAAGAACCGACATTAATTATAACTTAATTTGTTCGCCTTTTATCCACTACTCTCCCTACCTGTTAGGTTTAAACGGAATTTATAATTTTATACAGCGACGGAGAAAATATTCCCTAAACTATTCTCTAAACAGAAAAGAAGGAAATATTCGCTCTAAATATAAAAAGCTGTTTTTAATTCTACGACATTTCCAAGAGGGGAAAAAAATATTAAAAATCACAAATCATGAGAAATAAATAAATTTTTGAACGTCGGTATTTTTATTTTGCGTCAGACATTCTATATTTGTCTGGTGGGTCCCCTTGGCGTCACATTGGCGTTTATATCGACTGAAACCAAACGGTGTTGTTGTTTATCGATATAAAACGACTCGGTAACATAACCGAGCGGATTCTTTGAAAGAAAGAAAGAAAAAACGGAATAAAAGGGGGAAAAGTAAAAATAAAAATGAAGAAAAATAATAAATTGCAAACTGAAGTGAAGTAAAAAATTCAATTAAAGTTGGGAAGAAGAGAATGCAAATGCGCATTTTTCGTAATCGCCTCTTAAGCTATTGGAGAGATAGCTGTCATCATAACTGTTATTTATGGCCATACCCGGCATTAGTAAAATATAATTTGGATCAAATGAGTAAATTTTTCTTAATAGTCGAATTTGTCCAACAACCGTTAACGTATTACGATAGTAAACGTCAAAACTGGATACGTACCCGGGGCAGAATTATTTTCCACTCGATCCAACGGAATAATCCGTAAATTCTCCTATGACGTCACGCAACGTCATCGACCACGAGGCTGCTGTCTGGCTGACAGTCGATCGCAGGTTTGTAAGAGAGCAGACGATGAGGAACGGATGAATGTTGGCGGATTCGTCGAAACGAGTCGAAGTAGAGATGGAAAGAAAAACGACTGGTGAAATATTAACTTATATTAAGGTATATAAATAAGTGTAGAAAGATTTCTAAGAGTTTTAAGATTTTTGTCTGGACGATGGATATCAGTGGGTGCGAGGATAGTTGTTGCAGAGATGATGATCCTGGACTACTTGTCATCGGCCACGTGGTCAGTAGGTAATGAAATGGCACATGGACGGGATGGAGACTGACCGTATTGACAATATTCAGATGTAGACCAGGGTCATGGACCAGAAAGGAAGATGCTGTACAGTTCTTCATCTCGGCGAAGAAAATGCACGGTTGCTATTATTGGCTGTAGTTATGGTGATTTACATGATCATTGGTGCTGCTGTTTTTCAGATATTGGAGCAACCGGAAGAAGAACAGAATCGACAAAGATTTCTGAATGTTTATAGAAATTTCTGGTCCAAGTACAACAATACTATTGATATGCAGGATGTTCTCACTCTGCTTTACGAATATGGTAATGCTACGGCTGCTGGAGTGATAGACAAAAGACAGAGATGGGACTTTTCCGGATCTTTTTACTTTGTTGGCACTGTCGTTTCTACAATAGGTAAGTCAACTATTTTGCTTCTTTTCTTACTTTGCTATCTGTTTACATAAAGTATATAACCTATTTTAAATGTCTCGTCTCCAAAATTTTTAGTATTTAAATTACCAAAGGTCGTAAGGAAATGAGTATTTGGTTTACTATAAATCCGAAAGAAAAAGAAAAAAGTTGTATTTATCGTAAGCCCAGTCGATAGAAAATATCTTCACGTTACATATTATAATTAATTCCTGTTGCTTTGACTAAAAAGAAATACTTTAAGACTGTTTTAACTTATTTTCTTATCGAATTTGATTTCTACCAAATTTGGCGCCATTCCAATCCTCTACCTCTAAAGCAGCAAAGTGTTCATAATTAACTAGTGCAAAATGCTTGACTATTGATTACCACTGCTATCTAATGGAACAAGAATCGACAAGATTTATCGGGCTATCCTTCAAGATCCCCTTACAATCGCTCCAGAATTGTGCCACCACTAGATGTATTCCACTTTTTTTAACCCGCTTCTCTCTTATCTCTGTAGTTTCGTGTTTAAGATCGATCAAACGGTTTAAGTCTACCCTTGGGGAGTTTTGCAGTTTTCGTTTACATCGTTCTATTATTATTTATATAAGGGGAATGCCTTTCTTTTCAAAGTTAAAACGAACGTAGGGCAAGTTTTAATTTGCTTAGCTTTCATGAATTTTTATAATATTTTAATGGCGTTCAAATGAAAAAATTCAATACGTAGCTTATTAATTCTGTTTAGAGTGTTAACTCGTGGAATTTTAAAAGTTTCAATAAGTGCGAGCGTTTATCTCTCGATCCTTTACAAGCGGTTATATCAATATTGATCATTTGTCAAATCTATAATTTTAAGTCTTTGCGAACTTTATAGAAATCCATATTATAAATATTATATAGGTCTATATTAACTTATCGTAAATTTATTGTAAAATCTAGGCTAATCCGAATCTTATACAATTATAAATTATTCATATTTTTAGCTGGATATAGAGTCCATATAAATTATGTGAAGATACCATTTCAATTTGTTATATATATAATACTATATCAGTGTTAATTCTATTTTATCGTGTTCAATATTTTTCTTTATTCCATAATCACAGTATTTACGAGAGTTGAAAAAACAGAAAACGATTGTCATTCAATACACAATTACAATAAACGTATAAATAGATCCAAATCTCTCGTTCAAAGTGATTTAAAAAATTTATCATTGATTATTGATTAATTTATTTATCAATTGTTAATTAGTAAAAACGTAATTAATTTATTCTTAATTTGCTAATGTAATTAGATACTGTAAGAGAATTTTTTTCCATTTTAAAATCGATCAATTCCTTTTTAAAATACTTTAAATTTAATAAAATAATTAATACACTTAAAAAATTTGTAAAATTTTTTTATAAGTAGAGTAAAATAGTTTATATTTCGAAAATCAAAAAAGCATGAAGAACGGAATAGGAGTTAAAAGTTATATAACATCAATTTATCTACAAGAAAAGAAATATCGACTTTGATGTTTCTAGAACAAGATTTAACAAAAGTTGGATCATCTTTTGTGAAAATTAGTTTTCTTTATTGAAGGAGAAAGATTTTCTGCCATAGTAATAGATCTGCAGTGACCTACCAGTGTATGTTGAGATTACGTGATATGTTGAAGGATTTGTTATGTTCAACGTTGTTTTATTATATGGCACACAGATAAAGCTTAGAATTTCATTCTAGTCCATTCTTTTTTCAGTTTTTTTTTTGTTTTTGTAATTAAAATTTAAAGCATTTTTATAATATTCATCGAGCGTTTTTTAATGCTTAAGTCAGCAACGCATATTCGAAAATTTCACCAAGTTTCTCGAAAATCAATTATAGATGTCGAATATGAATCTTCTCAACTATTCAATTGCATCCGCAGATGCTCTACTATCGTTTAACTCTACTATCGTTGCTCCGTTTAATGACCATTCCTTTATCCAACATGGCGAAACAAATCAATGATATGATCGTCCCTACGGCTGTCGGTTGGATAACATTCGTAGGTCTGTATTGGAAAGTAGATGCCTGTACTCGAGATTTTCTTCGCTGATGCTGTAGATAACTTATAACATGCTTTTTTTCTAAAGATTTCTATCTTCTGAGATTTATTCATAGTCGCTATTACAATTGATTCCACTCTCCGCTGTAAGAAAAAGTTTCTAGATAGCGTTTTCTTTCTTGTAAACCTGATAAATTGCATAGGGCAGAATTTATACTTTCTCGTTATTTATAGCTTATATTTTAAATATTGTTAAGTTATAGAATATTTGTGTCTGCAGGATCCTATGATATTTACTTATAAACAGTTAAATTTAAGATCTGGAAGTAAAAATGACAAACTTTTGAAGAATTTGGGTTTATTTCCTTAATTTAGAATCTATTTAAATATTTATTTTTCAGCGTTTCAATCCGAAACTAGAAATAAAATTGTTGATATTTATATGTAAACTGTGTGCTACTTATTATTGATTATTGTTTAATAACTAAAAATATAATTTTTTAATAATCATAAGTCTATAATTTTGTTTCCTATAACAAAATAGCACCAATTTGATCGGGTGTTTTCGAGAGGCGATTAAACTCCTTTCTGCATTCTCTCTCTAATACATCAATCTTACGGATTCATGCAACTATTTCGACTTTGGATAAAACTTTTATCAAATAAACTTTAAACCACCGTCTATAAGTATTGTAATTAGGTCTTACTTTTTTAAATTTTCCAATTCGTTTGAATAAAATATATTTTCTAGCTTAATCACTGGCAACGATATAACTGGTATCTGTTTTTTTCCTTCTTCCTTTCTATCCACATTAATTACCTTTGATTTTAGGAAATCAGTTAAACGATTAGAATTTCAAACTTCATGACGTCACGGTGTCATTAATGTCACCAGAAAACGACCTTTAACGTTTAAAAACTGGATAGAAAATAGGGACAGTTCTCGTTATCATTTTTTTTCCATTGCAGTCTCGAGTATTGTATAAATAGAATTATCTTTTAGATTATTATTAACTGATAAAGAAGGACGATTTTTTAATTAAATATACAACTTACTTCAAAATATATTATTTCAATATTCCTTTTTAAAATTTAAATTTGAAATTTTATACTCCCTGTTACAGGAAATATAAATATATTCGACTATCTTTAGAAAGTCGAAATTTACAAAATTCCTTTCCAATGAGATGTACTGTATAGTACTGTACAGTATATTTATTTTAAATGATTAATTGTATAATTGATCCAATTCAAAACTGTACACATCATAACGTTTTTAGTCTATTGATTAATATTTAAACGAGAATATTTTGATGGTAATGTTCTTGATTACAGAATAATTAGCATATAAAAGTAATTAGTTATTTTTTTCATTAACATCAAGAAGATATTTGCTGTAAATTATCCATTATATATCAGGTGTATATTATTGTCCATTATTGAAATGTGTTACTTTATGAATGCGGCAAGTAAATTGTTTTTCTTCATACTTTTAAAAAATTTATTGTTTATTTGAAGATAATTAAGTCGAATAAAAAATATTTTATCTTAAAAGAAGCCGAAACTTTAAACAAAATGTATATTTTAAATTGCAAATAAAATGTAAATTTACTGCAGATTAAACAATTGCAATTCCAGAATAGAAAATATTCTTTTAAAAGCTTTGATTTTAAAAATTAATTGCAATTAATTTTTAAGATAACTCTGTTTTTTTAAGTGGTTTGGAGTTCTTGTAAATGACAATACCATTAGATTTTTAAATATTAAGAAAATTTATCTTTTACTTGTTATAGATTTAGTTTAGAACATGTCCAAAATTTCTTCTGTAAATTATTATGAAATAAATAAAAATATAAAAATAAAACAATGCAGAGAATTTAAATTCGAATAAATTTTAAGAAAAGAATGTTGTCATTTAAGAAAGAAAAAAAAATAGAGATAAATATAGAAGGAAGCGGAGAGACAATACAGCAATTTAAGTTAAGTACAGACATTTGAAAAATTCTATTCTAAAAAAATTCGCATATATAAATTTAAAACTTATTAAGGTTAATCTAAACAAGAAAAAAAATGTAAACAAGCTAAAAATTTCATTACGTTATCCATTAACTCTTTTTTAAAATTTTAATTTAACTCGCTTTAAAAACTATTTTTTTAAAAAAAGAAAGCTAAAACAATACAATTTTTTTTTAATTAGTAAAACTACAATGGAAGAAAAGTGCGTTAAACTCTTGTTTTTCTTTATCTTTTCTTTTACGAGATTGTTTATGAAATTTATTTATAAACAAAATTTCCATATAATCATCAACCTCTCGATAAGTGGCTCAACGCGTATTATTAAAACAACGATATCTCCAATGCACTTAATCATTTTCCAACCGGAAATTATATGATTTAATATCGTATTAATAATACTGTCAGTGATAGATTATACTTTTTTTCAAGGATTAGAAACAATATATATATATATATATATATTTTTAAAGTAAAGAATTATTTTAGAGTTTGAACTCTGACCTATTTTCCTTCTACTCTAGCAGTTTCACTACTTCAATTTTCGTTTATCAAAATTGAATGGCAAGAGCTTGACAATGAGTCGTAAAAGTGTCAAAAATGTTCCCTTATTGGAATAGTTGTATTTTCATTGTGAGTACGATAAATATTTTTCATTTACAAAAATGACAATATCTGCTTATTTATCTTGAGTTATTGTCGTTTTTCTCTTCCGAAACCGTAATAATATTTAATATTTATACTTATTTTTTTCGAATTAATTACGTACGCTCTGCTTCTTTTTAATAACTAGGTCTAATATCTATAATAATGCAGCAACGCATGCGTTTATTAAATTGCAATGCTTTTTTTCCTCTGCCCTTCGACACTCGTGTTTGCGCTTGCGTATTCGACTTTTGGCACTTTGCCAGATTTTTAAAATACGTCATTCAACAGGTCTGAAGAGTCTTATTAC